CAGAGACCCTATGTGAGACTTCATTATATAAGGCTGGCAATCTGTACACTCTCCCTTGGAGTCGTCGGTGGGTTTGAACCAGCAACTCTGTGGTGAGCATCCCAAATCCTAACCCACAGCGCTGTCAGGCCTCCTCTAGTTATTCACCAGGGCAAAAGATGTGAAGCTGTTGAAATATGCTGTAGCTGCACACGCCCATATTGATAGCATGTGTTTTAAAAGTCAAAATCATAACAGACACGTAGCAACATGAGTGTGTGCACCGTATACCATATAAGGGAAAGCCACGTGTAATAATGAAGACAATTGCACCATTTAAATGGTCCGTGTTTTAGTCCCTGGGTTGATGTTCGGCTTGTTTTCTCCTCCGCCTCTCTCTTTCTCACACCACCCTGTCCGTGTCTCATGACCAAGATGCCTGTCCTTAGCTCCTTGGAGTCTGGAACACACGCCCATGGATACGTTATTTCTGCTCCTTCTGGGGACACAGATTTTGCCCTTCACTGTGCAGTTTATTTCCTTGGGTTATTTATCAAATCTTCCTGTGAGTTTTTCGAGCGCAGCAAGGGTTGTTCTCAGGCCCGGGAGATGTGGAATCACCGCTCCTGTGCCGAGCCGGGGGGGTGTTAGTGCCAGTGTGCTGTTCATCTCAGAGCCCTGGGGGTATGTTTTCCCATCCCGTTGTCATCCAGTGGCCCATGTGTGTCATGATGACCCCAGATGTGTCCAAGTAGAACGGCCCACAATGGGGTCTTCAGGGACTGTTTTTCAGGGAAGACCACCAGACCTTTCTTCTGAGGCTCCTCTGAATGGACTTGAAACTCCAAACTCCAGCCTTTCCATTAGCAGCAGAGCGCATGAACCATTGCACCACCAGGGAGGCCCCTGCACTTTCCTAGGCCACCAGGTGAAATGACCGGCTTCCTGGCACAGGGTAGGCTTCTGAGTTCCCCAAGGCCTCTTTATCCCCGTGTAGCCCAGGCCGTTGACAGGTTTCTTGCTCACTTTCCAGCGTGGTTGGTTGAGCTTGAATCTTGAATTCCAGTTCCAGTTCTCTACCGCACCCTGGCTGGCCATTGTATCTGATCCCTGAGGTCTTACTCGCCCACTCCTCGAGCCTTCACTAACTCCTTGCCCTGTGTACTGTGGGGTTGCGCTCCGGCTAATCCCCAGGGCTTCTTGTTTCTGGAACTTAAACACATGATGCACGGGAGGGTGAGGATGGGTCGTAACTCCCAGATTGAAATCAGTGTTACGGAATCGAAAGTGGAGAAATTGCTAAATTGGTGGATGTTCATTGTGAACATTCTCAGTCACAGCCCAAGGAACACGGGTTATTTTTTTTTAATAATAATTTGGGTCTTACTGTAGAAGAACATTCTATCAACTATACTGACCAACCCAAACCAAACTCACGGCCATCGAGTCCGTTCTGACTCATAGCAACGCTCTAGGACAGAGTGGAACGGCCCCTGTGGGTCTCCGAGATTGTAACTCTTGGCGGGAGTAGAGAGCCTCCTCTGTCCCGCAGGGGGGCTGCTGGTTTCAAAATGCTGACCTTGCAGTTTGCAGCAGAACCACTATGCCAGAAGTACTTACTTATCTTTCCATTCACCCCAACCCTATGAAAATGCATGTTCGTGTAATCCGAGACTGTAAAAACGAAATGACTTGTTGTGTGTCGGGGTCGTGGGTTTTCTAGCAGCTATTTTTCAAATATTCTGTATTGTCATTATATTGTCTTTACCCTAATAAGAAGCACCGTCTTCCTACCTCATCTTTTGTTTCAGAACGCGTACACTACAACTGCCATCAATGGGACGGATTTTTGCACATCAGCAAAAGATGCAGGCACGATGCTGTCCAAGAACGCAAGTCATCTTACTTCCGTTAACTGCTTTGGAGACGTCGTCATTTTTCTAGCCAAGGTGAGACGCCTGCAGGAAAGTAACACAGAGGTGGCCCTAGTTGCCTCAAGACCAGAAACAGGTCTGTGAAGGGGAATTACTATGAGTCCTTACCCCATGGTAGATGCTGTATCCTCTCATGAACCCCAGGAAAGGTCTGTGTTTTGCCGATGAGGAAGCCAACTTTCAATAACTCATCTAATATCCCACCGTAGGTTGAACCAGGGTTTCAGTCCTAGCCCTGCCCCATGAACACCCACGATCAATCCTGTCTACGGCAGCCTGATTCCCACGGACTCTTTCAGGTCTAAAATAACACTACCGCTCCTTCAGAAAATGGACGAGCTTCATGGGCTGTCATAAAAAGTACATGGAAACAAGTATTGATACTTGATGGGATTTGTACCTTGTGAAGGGCATTAAGTCAAATAAAGTTGCTCATGTCCAAAAGGGAGCCAAAGTGACTATCATCTAGATAATAATCTTTCTGCCTGCTTTAAGAAATTGTAGTCTTCTGGGATGGAGGAGCATCTTAGAAGTAGAGCTCCCCGACCCCCAACCATGATATAAAAGGGCTGTGCCCCGAACGTGGAATCCTCTGCAACGCCGAGCCTCAGTTTCCCTATCTGTAAAACAAAGCGAGGGATGACAAACCGAAATGTTGATGAAAGCTCCTGCCCCACCCCTCCTTGACCAGGATTCAAGTTAAGACATGGTTCTTGGTAACATGTCAGATGCAGTGTCCTTCCTTGTAATGTTCATCCACTGGGCCTAGTTTTGAAGGATTGAGTCTGTCTGATCCCGTTCCCAACTTGACTGCCCCTCGTATTCTTGACCAGACATCGTGACCGCCCCACTGGGTCTTCTCTATTCCACATTACACGTCCTCTCGTCTGCCAACCATCGTCCCTACAGAGTCCTAAGACATGAAAACCAGGAGTCGTCAGTGGTGCTCAATAGTGAACAAGGCCTTGGCCTCTAGTTGTGACCTGGTAAAAGGCAATAGATGGAGGGCTCTTGGCTCCTCGTGGGGGGGTTGTGTGCTTCTGTGGTACGTGGTGCATGTCCCTAGTGCAGCACTGTTCGGATTGGCTGCCCGGTTCCAGGCCTGGGTTTCAGTTGGACATGTAGTTCATCTCTCAGCTGGGCTGAGATTTTTCATGACTGTAGCTCTCGAAGCATGAAACGATCCTGCTTTCAAAATAGCCTAAATCATGTAAGTATTTAAATTGATAATCTTGTGACATGTTTTTGAATCACCATTCCCACAGGTAGGGGGATGAGGCCTCAATTTTTTTTTAACTGTTTTATTAGGGTCTCATACAACTCTTATCCCAATCCATACATACATCAATTGCGTAAAGCACATTTGTACATTCATTGCCCTCATCATTCTCAAAACATTTCCTCTCCACTTAAGCCCCTGGCATCAGGTCCTCATCCCCCGCCCCCCTCATGAACCCTTGACAATTTATAAATTATTATTTTGTCATATCTTGCACTGTCCGACGTCTCCCTTCACCCACTTTTCTGTTGTCCGTCCCCCAGGGAGGAGGTCACATGTAGATCCTTGTAATCGGTTTCCTCTTTCCAACCCACCCTCCTTCTACCCTCCCAGTATCGCCACTCACACCACTGGTCCTGAAGGGATCATCCACCCTGGATTCCCTGGAGGCCTCACTTTTATAATATACTTATTGATTTTAGGTAATCATTCATGTTCCTGTATTTCCCGAGGATGCACAATTGCTGATGAGCTTCTAATAAGCATACATTTCCAGTGATTCTTCGGTTTTCTGAATGAACTAGTTTTCAGACCCCCATGCCAAGGGGGGCCCCAGATAAACTCCATTATGTCTGTGAAAGAATTAGATTCCTTATGGCCCTAATCCTATACCTGGGAGTTTCATAGACACACAAAGGCTCAGGGTAAGGCCATTTTCGCTCTCTACCAGCATTAGAGAGCCCTTTCACCTGAATTCCAGGGGGTAGAGATCGCATATTAAACTACCATTAGCTTGATTAGCTGTTGGGGGAAAAATGTTTATAAAAATACTGTTTTTAGTGAAAATGCTTAGTGTGGTCTTAAGTGAAAATAACTATAAAGAAAACCCAGTCACTAGCCCCTGGCCCATCCCCAATAACCAACTGGGTGATTGTCTGAGATCATATGCTTCGTTTGTTCTTATTCCTACTTCACTGTGCCTCATGTTCCAGGAAATCCCTTCTTTGAATAGGGTGTCTGGCATGTTCCCAAGAACCATCTCTTACCTCGAATCACGGTCAGGCAGGGGTTGGGCCGGGAGCGGGGCCCCATATTTAGCAACATCTCCGTCATCCCGATCTTTGTTTTACAGATGAGGAACACTGGGGGCCAGAGTTGTAGAAGACACGTACACATGTTTTCCCAAGTACTCTAACCGGTTTATAAAGACCCCCGTACTCTTGTTTCGGGCAGGTGTTGGTGGTGTGTTTCACTGTTTTTGGAGGGTTGATGGCCTTTAACTACAACCGGGCGCTCCAGGTGTGGACAATCCCCCTGCTGCTGGTGGCTTTCTTTGCCTACTTAGTGGCCCACAGTTTCTTATCCGTGTTTGAAACCGTGCTGGATGCCCTGCTCCTGTGCTTCGCGGTCGACCTGGAAACGAATGACGGATCACCTGCCAAACCCTACTTCATGGACCAGGAGTTCTTGGTAAGCAAATCCCTCCCCTGCTACCATCCACCTCGTGGTGATCTCACGAGCACTGAATCGAAAAGCCTCCCCCAAACCGGAGGCTGGATGGTGGTGGTTATGGTAGTGGTTAGCCACTGTCGTTGGCCATTGTCGTCTGGCCTCCAACTCACGGCCACCGGCTACGTGCAAATAGGATTGCTCCACAGGGGTTTCTGGGTTACCATCTTTATAGAAACGGGTTCCCAAGCCCTACTCCTGCTTGGAGAAAGTGGTGCTGGGCAGGCTCCTTTTCGGAGGCCACACCCAGGCTCAGTTTCTCTGTGGGTTTTTTATGACCACCTGGTCTGAAAGTGCGACTGGCGCTGAGCTCGCAGAAACTGAGACTACCTGTGCGGAAACCTTAATCCTGGAGAGGCAGGCGTGTGAGTCCTGACCACAGAGAGCCTCACTGGGAGCAGCACCCAATGACCTGGGTAGGGCTCGGGACTCAGTTCCCGGCCAGTGCGCATCCTGTTGTGAAACTGAAGGGGTTTGAGCTGAGAGAGACTGAGAAGGCGGGCCTGACAAACCTACTTCTGAACACCAGCCTGTGGATCACAGTCTGCAACCAAGGACCAGGCAGGATGGGCTTCTGTGACACTTGAGGTGCCCACGAGCTGCCTGCCTCCAAGGACATGCCATGCCCTGCATTTTGGGCAGCACACGCTCCTAGGCAGGCTCGTCACGCCCCCTGCGGCTGGCCCTGGCGACAGCTGGACAATCCGAAGACCCGCTTTTAGCCAGAGGAACAAGTAGCGTCAGAAAGCCACACCCCCAACAGAGCCGCGTCTGGGGCCGAGCAGGCAGCTGCCTGCCCCAGTGGCTTGTTGGCCTCATCCACTGTACACAGGGCTATTTTAACCGCTGGGGGGTGCCCAGCTCTTCTCCTCGTCTGGGTGGAGAGGCAATTTATAGTAATCTACTTCCGTTCTGTTGCACAAAACTTTGTCAGAGCCCTCTCTTTTGCTTTGTTGAACAAAGCCTCCAAAGCACCCTTGAGGCAGGCCTGGAGATTGAACGAGTATTTCTACAATTTTACATTCACTCCCTCCTCGCCCTCCTCCGTAGGAAACACACCGTTCGTTTATTTGCATGGGCATCGATAGGGAAAATGCGCTGGGGGCGCGGGCGGAAGCCAACCATGTGCATGTGCTTGGATTTCCATGTTTCTGGTGAAAGATTTCCACTTGGAAATCTGTCTAGCCCACTCAGCAGGGAAGACTTCCAAGGATGCAGTTCCTTGGCACCAGGTGGCCCAGGGCGTTACTCCCAGTGCGCACGGCCGACCCTGACCTCCTCCTCTTGTTTTTCAGAGCTTTGTCAAGCGGAGCAACAGCTTCAGAGGTGTGAGGGCCCCGATGGGCGGGAGCTCCCCGGGGCCTGAAGAGGGCACAGAACTCCGGCCCATGGCACGGTAGCCGCCCCTCAGGGATTTGTGCCTGGGAAAAAGCTTCCCTTTCTCAAGCCGTTTACAGACTACATGGTACAGCCTGAAGTGCCCTATTGTTCTGTGCTGTGCTGGTCATCACCTGGCAACATTAACAAAACCGAACAATAAAGTTGTATAACCTCTCTTTGTACTGACTGAGACCGAAATTATGAGTCCATAAAACAACAGTAAAACATCATACGGCGGCTCAGTTCAGGGCTCCGCTCACAGGAAACAGACACCTCTTGATCGAAATGGTGGTTTGTGGTTGCCGCTATCAGAAGCCTCTGGAATGTTGCTCTAGAGCAGCGGTTCTCAACCCATGGGTCTCGACCCCTTTGTGGGCTGAAGGACCCTGTCACAGGGGTCACCCGATTCCTAACAGTAGCAAAATTACAGATGAGGTAACATCGAACAGTATTAAAGGGTCGGGGCCTTAGGAAGGGAGAGAACTACTGCTCCAGAAAATAGCAGAACTTTGCTCATCAATGCTAACAAGGCAATGCCCACTGTCCCACTAATTCAACCGCTCACTTTTCAAAGTACAATTCTTAGGTCTAGTGACAAGTATCATGGGACATTTAAACTCCAGCCAAAACTGCAATCCAAACTGGGCCTGGTATAAAATGGATGCAGAAGCTGAACCAGAGGACTTGACTTTGTTCAGCGCAGTCTGCTACCTCTTGGGCTTCAACGACTGCACCCTATGCGAATCTCCGGAGGGCGATGTTTATGATATTTTGGGGTGCAGTGATTGGGTACTGGGCTGTGTGAACTGTAGGATGAGCGGTTCCAAACCATTAACTGAGGAGAAAGGTTTCTACCCCCAGTCTCAGAACTCACAGGTAGTTTTGTCGGGTCGCTGAGTCCGAAGCAGCTTGGTGGCAGTGAGTTTTGTTTTGTTGTGCCGGGACTGAGGGCGCTGGAGGCACCGGGGGTTAGGACGCATTGGGCAGCTAAAGTACAAGGAGAGCAGTTTGTACCCACCAGTTGCCCCACGGGGCAAGATGGTCTAGGATACACCAGAGACCCCAATCTCAAATGCAGTTTAAGGAGAACATTTGTAAGTCTTAAGCAGGACAGAGACATATCATCCAGACAGTTAGCACAAAGCCAAAATGGCACCTGAGGATTCTGTCAGGATGTTAATTAGAGGTTCAGAACAAGGGAAGTTCACAAATCTTGACTGGGGCAGATTGACACATCAGTTAGAGTGAGACAACAGACAGATAATGGGATCCTGACTGGCACCTGCACATTGGTAGAAGCGTACACGATGGGCCCAGGAGTCAGGCATCAGGGACAGACCTGGCTCATTACCCCGTGACCCTCAGTACTGCCCATAAAGGACACCCAGGCAAGCCCCTAAGGGACACTGCCCCGCCCACAGCCGGCTGGAGAGGGATGGAGGTAGTGATCCACTTCCCAATGTATGCTGCCTGAGGGCAAGATTGTCCTCATCTGGGATGAGCTTTCCATGGAGGCTTACTCCCGACTCTGCAAATGGATTTGGGACTTTCAGTCTTTTACAAAGTTGGTGCCTGGAACTTAAGCTCTAATCCACTCTTCCCATGCGGATTTCCCACTTCAGGAAACCCACGGGACAGTTCTCCTGTCGTCCTTAGGGTGACTGTGAGTCGGACCGGACTCAATAGCAGTGAGGGACTTTGCTTGCCTGGACCGGAGACACGAGGGCAGTTAAAGGTCTGGGGCCAGTGCTATGTTCAGGCTTCTCCAATGGCTGGCATCCTACAGTTAGTGTGATGGACAGGTAGAATGACTGAACTAGCAAACCTGTAATGACCTGGCCTCGCTGGGTGGGGCTGCCAGGGGTTGAGGGTGACCGGATGGCGGGCAACCACCAGAGGTCTGCCGTGGCCTCCCTGCAGAGCGAGCGTTCCCACGCGTGGCTTCTCAGGACTCTCCGGCCACAGAGTGCTAGCTCATGTCCACCTTTACAAATGTAAAGCGTTTTTCAACAGCACCTTTGATTACAATGTAGCTCAAGAGTGGTTTGGGTTTGCTCTGGTTGCCTTACAAAGCAGACCTGTCAGAATCGGTTACAAAGCAGACCTGTCAGAATCGGGATTCCAGCCCCAGGGCATATTTCAATCACCTCTAAGATATGCAAAGTGAGGACCACAAAGAAGGCAGACCCAAAAAGAGCTGTGGCCTCTGGATTAGGTTGCAGGAAATTTTGAATATACCAGTCTGCCAGAAGAATAAATAAATGTGTCTCACGAATGCTCCTCTCAAGTGAGGATGTCGGTCATGCCATCAGGAGGGCAGTCACTGGAGAAGGTCATCCCACTCGGGATGGGCTCAAATCTAACAACTGTGAGGAGGCCACGGTTCTGCTCCAGACAGCAATAAGCCTGGTCGCAGGGGGAAGATGAGCAGACAGACGGTGCTTCGGTTGGCTCACCGAACCCTGAGCGCGCACATCTCCTTGATGGCCGCCGCCACCTTGGCAAACACGTTGCAGACATTTTCTCTCCCAAGACCTGATACAGCCAATTCCTAATAAGTGCCAGAAAGTATGATCCCTAATGTTCTTTTAGTGACTGGACTTTTGTAGTTACAACACTTAGGCTGTTACTTGACTGGCCTTCTGTATGTATGTCCTGACTGCGGGTGAAGTTTTGCTGACATATTATACTGTATGCCCTAGTTTATGATCCCACAGGGCAGTGGTTCTCAACCTTCCTAATGCCACGGCCCTTTCATACAGTTCATGTGTGGTGACCCCCAACCATAACATTATTTTCGTTGCTACTTCATAACTCTAATTTTGCTACTGTTATGAATTGGGCGACCCCTGTGAAAGGGACATTCGACCCCCAAAGGGGTAGCGACCCACAGGTTGAGAACCGCTGTCCTAGTACATCCAGTTCCTGCCCAGATTACTGATAAATACCTATTGACTGTAGAAACCGATGAACCCCACCTATTCCTGAAGGTGATTTCAAACGTATTCCTGTTGATTTCAGGTGAGCTTAGGGCAGCCGAGCGAGCTAGTGTTTTCAGCCTTGGTCAGATGATGCAGCTTGACTCCAGGCTGGCCTCTCCTATGTGCACCAGGCACGTCGCCTTGCTTTTCCTAAGTCACCTTCAGCATATCAATGGGGCGTGTGTGAGGGTCGTATAAAATGAAGCGTCTTATTAACAGGACCCGGGGGAAAGAATACCTTTAAGTTGGTTGTTGTTTTTAATCTGAATGTACCCATCTGGTAGTCAGCCAGAAAAAAGGGGGAAAAATAAAAAAATCAGCCTGCGGTTCGGATGCATGTTCCAAAAAAAAATATTTATTTATAAAAAATACAATGGGATAAGTTTATGCTGAGAAATGCAGCAATAAATACAGTGTCGGAAACAGAGCAATTCTATTTTGATACATTGGCACAAACAGGCAGAGGCTGCCCACACTCCTCTAGAACCCCGCTCCCCAAAGACCTTGTCCACTCGGGAAGAGAATGAGTACACGTGTCGTCACAGGTGCACACTGATCACGACTTTATTTAAAAATTAGCAAACAATACTGTAGAAACATTGATATGTAAATCTCTAAACATTTCAGATTTAGTTGGCAAAGACCACATTTAGCTATTAAGCACGAGTTTAGTCTTCCGTGTAGAAACCAGATACTGAACTGCCCAAAAAAAAAAAAAAAAGAACAGAAAAAAAGAAAAACTGTTCCTATTGTTGGAAAATACCAGTTTTACGTAGAAGACTGTAAAAATGCATAGATCTTTCATAAAAGAATTGGCTGTACAAGAGTACTCCCCTTTCACAGTATTCCTTTTTACTTCATATGCGAGTCACTGGTTCTGCTGCAGGAGTTAACTGTTACAGCACTGCAAGGCAACTACCGAGGCAAGAGGCAGAAAAAGGAAAAAGGAATGTATGTAAGGCAATATTTCTTTTAGGTATAATCAGCATAATAGTGTTTCAGGAAGACGAGATAAAAATTACTCAAGGCTAGCCTGGCTCTCACGGAAGAAGAACGATGGAGTAAATACTGCGCTCGCTCCTCCTCGGCGTGACTCTAGTAATCCATGCCTTGGTCGCCATATTGGTACTCTCGGGGGTAGTCATCTGGGTACTCCCCATGACACTCGTCTGGGTACTCGGCCTGATAGTCGCTATCACTGATCTCCGACCCATTCGTTCCTGTTCCTTGGCTGCCGTTGTGAAGGACAGGTTCGGTGGGGGCGGCACAGTATTTGGGGTCATACACTTGCCGCCCCAGCCCGTACACACTCATCCCTTTCTGGGAAGCCACTTTGTTGGTGCCCATCTGTAGAGAGATGGTCGAGTTGTCCACTGGCTGTAGGGTCAGCTTCTGATCGTAGATGTCTCTTCTGGTGCCTGGTGCCAACATCCCCGCCTGGTGTTAGAACACAGGATTAAAAGCTACATCAGAAAAGAGCTGATGAACAAGCTGATCTTGTGAACGGTTCCATCCTTAAGAAAATCACACTGGATGCGAACATGAATGCAGTAGCTTCCCTTGCAGTCAGGCTGGCCCCCAATCGCCCATGTGCAGCAATGTGCACTGGCTTCGGGGCTCGGACCTCCGGTCAAACCCCGGGGCTGCCAGAAAATGGCTGCAGGGCCTTCAACACCACACTAGTCTTTAGCTCTGGGTTTCTCATATGCCAGATGGAGAAACTGCTATGTATTTAGAATGCGCGAGAGGATTCAACATGAAGACTATACAACAAAGCAACTGCTGAGGGCGCTCCTGAAATTACCTGTGAATGCCCCTCACTCCCAAATGTACCTCCCGGGCTACTACCTCTGAAGGCTTAGAATGCATTCAGTGAAAATTACAGCAAGAGCCTCAAAAGGCTCCAAGACCTCAAGGGCCAGCCACGTCCCCATAGCTCCCCTCTCACAGCACACCACATGTCTCCCCACGGGCGTCAAGCACGCACGCCGCCTCGCAGCTCGTGAGAGAGCAAACGGAGCGGCAGCTACGAGGAGTGGCAAGGGCCAAACAACAGAGCAGTTCCAGCTCCCTGGAGACGTGCAACCCCGGAGACTGGTCCATCTACCCTCCAACGGTTATTTGAACCTCTTTTCTGCAGTGCTGATGATTTATTTTCCGTAAAAGAAAACGTGTCCACTTGCGCGCGGTCCTAGGATATTTGCAGTTTTGCCAGGTTGCCTTCTCCGTCGTCTCATCCCCACATTCTTATTAGCACTGCACAGCACCAGCTACCTGCTCGCTGGAGGAGGGGCCTTTTGGGAACACTAAGCAGCTGGTCAGACACTTAACTAGGTAACGATGCCTGCTTGAATCTGCAGCCAGACGACTCGAGGAATCACTGCCCTTCTTCTGCGCAGCAAGGCCTGCTGCGCACCTTGCCGCAGCCTTTGCTGCCCTGGCGCCTCCTGGGTACTTGCTGGGCTGCAGACCTCGGGCTCAGCTGTTTGAAACCACGAGGTCACTCAGGAGAGACAAGACTGTCTATTCCCATGCAAGCGTTAGTCTCTGGAACACACAGGGATAGTGCTACCTGGTCCTCTAGCGTCCTAAGATTGGCACTGATTTGATGGCAGTGAGCTTTAATTGCCACACACAGAAAAACAAGCCCTGCTTACTTGTCTTGCTATAGAATCAAGTCCTTTGATTCGTGTGTCTCCTCGGCAAAATCTGTCTTCCAAAAGGAATACAGTCTCAATGAATCATACTGAAAAAAACACCTACTATGAACTCAGTTCGAAGCGCAAGTTTCTAACCACGCCCCTTTGTGCTCTGTGGCACAGGTGTAACAAGGCACTGCTCACCTGGCTGGCCCCTTTGTTAGTGCCCATCTGCAGACTAATTGTGGTCTGGTCAAAGGGCTTGTCGGTTTGCATTTTGGGATCATAAAGATGCCTCCGAGTCCCATAGGCTGTCATACCGGCTTGGCTGGCACACTTGTTGGTTCCCATCTTTTAAGTGAAAAATAAAATTAGCTCGAATTACTAAAGTCACCAACACAGAGAAATGTTACTTCATTTGTTTTACAACAAAGATTCCCCATCACCACTACGGCCTCCACCTGGTAACAGTTTATAACGTCCTTCCAATGCCAAGGCACCAGTACACACACACACACACACACACACACACATCTCCTTTATGCTTTTTTATGAGCCAGTTATTTTCTTTCAAGAGAAGACTTCAAAACATTCACTAGAAATAAAATCTCTATAGAAACGCATGCATGGAATCAGAGGGACACACAGAAGCCTACTGTGACAGTATAGAATCAGGAGCCATTCTCTCTGCTACGAGCTTCTCTATTCCCTGTGGCACACACGGATAAGCAAATGAAGGGAGCCAGGCCTCAGCCAGGTGGAGGGAGCGAAGCAACCTTGGGAGAGATAATATATATGCCCTTCTACTCGGCCAGGTTTCCCGGAAGGAGCCCAGGTCACATGGAAAGGTCAGCAGTTTGACCCCACCAGCCAGTCACCCACGGGATCAAGGTGGGGCGGTGCGCTCCCACAGAGATTGCAGACTTGGAAACGACAGAGCAGCCAGGTCCACCCGTCCTACCGGGTGCTGAGAGGGGGAAATGAGGCTTCCACTTTGGGGTCGGTGTTTTGCATAAAATGTGAAAGCAAATGTCAGTGGTCTTCTGGTAGGCTAAGAAGGGCTTTTCTCAAGCCACAGCACAATGATCAACATTTTCCAGAGAAAAGATCTACATGTTATTGCTCACACTGGTGTCCCTGGGCAGGAGACAGGCAGACGGTGGAATCTGAACTTGGCCAGAGTGAAAGCCGGAGGTCAGAGGACAATCATTAACTTGACCTTCCCGCTGAGAACAAGATGGCTGCAAGGCCAACCAGAACACCCTGTTCTAACAGCTGAGAACCCACCCACCTCTACCGATGAGCCATTCTCCCTTTAAAAAACAGGATTTATTAGAGGAAAACTTTATGACTGAAAGGGAAACCTATCCATTGGAGAAGATTCAGAAGACAGATGTAAGCAAAAGGCGGGGGGGAGGGGATTCTAATCCCACCACTAGACTGTGACTGTAAACATAGATGTTTATTATTATGTTACCTTATCTGGCTGTGTACACGCATGCATATGGGGGGGGGAGCACAAATAGGCACGTGCATTATAAAATGAAATGGAGATCAGTATCTTACAACCTATTTTTTCCCTTATGATATCTTTTTAAACTCTTTGGTACATTTTAAAATAGCAGTTTCTCTCAAGGAATAAACATAAATCAACTGACTGCTGTGTATACATTTGTTTCTTCTTTCTCACCATGGATACATTTGTGCTGCATAAAAATGAATCCCCCTCACTTAGAGACTTAGCCAGAAGATGGGCAGTGCTTCCAGCAGAGCACGGACCATGAACCCACCACAGAGAGAACTTAGCAAGGCAGCTTCTGTGACTCTCTGCAAGGGGGCAGTGCGAGTGAAAAATAAAAACACACACGCTATTTAAAACGGGGCTTCAAAAAGTCTGTGGCAAACCCCCCGCCTTTCACTTTCATTTTTTCCACAAGCATTCTGAAACCACCCTGAGGCATCCCACAATTTTGGGAAATTTTAACAGAGCTTATACAAATAAGTGACTGGCCTTGAGGCTCTGAAGATCGATCGCCTCGCTTGTCCAATAACATTGTGGGGGTTTATCACGTACGTTTTCTAAAAAAGAATGATCAAAGGAAAAGTTCTATTTCCCTGGGGGGTGGGGGGAAGATTATCAAGTCAGGTGGCAATTCCAGTGTTTTGCCTAATGGACTTGATGGGGGGCGGCAGGGGTGGTGGTGATGATACACAATGTATCTCATTATCTAGCCTACATTATAGGGCCTATATGCACCTATTTACTTATGAAAGAGTTCATTGTTTGCTTGGAGGGAAGTAATGCAATCAAAGAAGTAATTGAATAAGCAACAGCACAGACTTACCTGCAAGCCAATCACACTTTGACCGGCTTTTAATTTTCCTTCATCAAAACGTCTCGTTTGCTTCTCTGCATACTTAACCCCAATGTCAATGGTTGTATGGAACCCTTTTGTTTTCGCCTAGACAGAAGCATGCACAGGACCTTAAATGGTACACTTGACTGGAGAACTTGCCAACAGAGGGTTACAAATGAACAGCAACACATGGACGAGGGCTTCATCAGAGCGCCTCAAACTGGCAGCGGAAACCACAGTTACTCACTCTTTCATGACCCTCGGGACACAGCTTACCCACCAATACTTCCAGCCTCTTGTGTTTCTGGGGAAGCTGCTATCCCAGTTGTAATACATGCCACCACGCAGTGGGGACTTGCTTAATTGTGAATCTGAAGGCCTGTCCCAAGGGTCTGAGCTGGGGACATGTGTCCCCACACCATTGTATCAAAATCTTTATTACCTTAAAAAAAGGCCCCCCTCCCTGGATTTCAACATGCCTCCCATTACGAAAAACATACGGTATCAACAACAAATAATAATAATAATTTGACCACAGAAGGGAACAGGCTATTTGGTAGTCCAGAAAACTCTGAAATGCGACTGTTCTCATGAAATTATCGTAAGGCAGCTGATAGTAGCAGCTTTTCCACAAAGCAAATAATCATGGTCCAGGGAGGCCCATCCCCATTTCCCCCTCCCCCCCATGGGAGAACAAGCCCTCAACTCATCGAAATGGCAGAGGTTCTGTTGAATTAGCCATTAAGCACACATACATACCAGACCAGCTAGGGCCACCAGCGTAGTCTGAACCTGCGTCATGTTTCCATTTTCAAAGAGATCATTTGCTTCAAAGATGTCATGGGGTTTCATGCCATAAGCCTGAATAGCTTTAATGAAGTTGCCGATATTCTCCAACTATAAAGGAAAACAGTCACATAACGTTAGGGGCCATGTATGAACATTTATCGACAGCGAGGAAAGGATCCTTTGTCTCCGGGACAGTTAATCCTGAGTAGATGCGGGTAGAAAGCTTCCTGGCAAGTTTTCTTGAGCAGATCATACTAAGCCCAGATCCCTCTGGGGAAGGGAAGGGTAAAAAGAGCGATCTCACTGTGGACCCATAACGGTCTTGTTAATGTTTTTAACCAGCTTGGGTTTGTTTGTTTTTCTCAATCCATAAAAGACAAGATCTTTAACCGTTTTCAAAGAGGCGTATGCCACAGTCCTCCCAGCCGGGCATTTTCTTTGTTAAAAAGAAATCATCACATTAAGTAACGTGTTTTAATTTTCATTTCAAAGTAAGTTTGTGGTTAATCTACACTCGTTCTTTTAACGCTCAAACAGGCTCCAGAGACAGGACTATCCTCTCCATGGAGTACAGAGCCGCTGTGTAAAAACTGTGATTCTCCCCTTGCTTGTCTTTGCCGTCGACGTTATAATTCTCCCTTAAGCTACTTAAACTCCTTTCTGAAATTAAGAGATTAAATGCAAGAAAGCATCTAAGCCTCTCCGAACTTCAGAATTCAAGAAATAACTGTGGAGACATTAAAGATAAACATGGCAGAAAACTGGAGTCTAAGCATGGACAGAAATCCCTCCTTAAATGTCTCATTTTAAAAGGGGGATTGAGGTGTCGTTGCACAGAGGGTGACCAACGAGAACCAGAGGTGGCTGGAGGGGCTGTTACCTGAGGCCAGTTTAGCGAGGACTCGTTAACTTTCTTCACAGCACCTGGCTGTAGTTTGTTTATGAGCCTGAAAAGAAAAACACAATTGACACCTTACTTAAGAGGCACATACATAGAAACACAGAGACTAAAATGTAAGGGTGGTCCCTTTCACATAGGTAAAGGAATGCATTAGAAATGAGCTGGGCTTCTAATCACAGGGTCAGCAGTTTGAAACCACCAGCCACTCCATGGGAGAAAGAGGAAGCCTTCTAATCCTTTAACAATGGACAGTCTTGGAAACACAAAGGAACAGTTGATCCCTGACCTCTAGGGTTGCTGTTACGTGGACACTGGCTGACTTGACGGCTGTGAGTGGAGTTCTATTTGTCTGTCTGTTGTTCCGCATCGGGGTTGGGAAGGAGAAGGCAGATGCTTGTGGGGAGGGCACACAGCAGGCCCTGAACTTACTCGCAGAGGATGATGCCGTCCTTTAAGCCCAGCTGAAAGTTGGTGCCAATGCTCATGCCAGTCACCTCTTCTATCCAGTTGCGAAGATCTTCTTCTGCCTGATGGTCGTACTTGGATGCAATCTGAAACAAAGTGCAGTGAACGTCAGAACACCAAAAACTGCTGACTGGCCCTGCTTTTATTACCTACCAAGACCACAGCCGTGACATGCAGCCACGCACGCTCGATGGGTTTCCCTGGCAAGGCTAACCAACTATTACAGCTTCAGGGGAGGGAGAGGGGAAGAAAAGAAAATATTTGGGGCTAAGGCTATCACGCAAAACTTCAACCCGCGCATGGAATACTCCAGGGGCCGAGCGAAGAAAGCATGGATCACAACTCCCTCCTGTGGGTACAGGAGGTGGCTATGGGCACAGCATTTGCCGGTGTGTGAGATGGCCACAGACCTGCAGCCCACAGCCTGGTGGAGCCTCTGGGGGTGGGATAAGCACTTACTTCACCTTCAGTACCCTATCATAGTCAGAACCCAAACATTTCATTTAAAAGGAGTATATTCAATTTTGGTTGGCGAATCCTACAATAAAGGCCACTTGCCAACCCAAATGCCACGCTATTATACATCCTGACACTATCTGATAAGCGTGGTTGGAAAGAATCCCTTTGTAACAAGACCATCGATCTCAATTACAAGAAAATGAAACAAAATGTTGTTAAAAAGCACATGCTCCAGTTCTTCAGCTGGGCCCCGCCTGGTCTACCAGCCACGCAGAGGCTGGTCAGTCAGCGTTATTAAGGGTACCCCAGGCCCTGGCCCTGGCCATGGCCCTGGCGCCTGGATGAACCCTTGAGACATTTGGCCTGAGATAATCTTTAAATCTTAAACCAAACATATCCTCCGAGGTCGGCGTAAAACCCAGCAATAGCTTATTTAGCAATAACTTATTTAGTTAACCTACCAAAGCTCGCCCGCCTTGAACGCTGTGCTCTTTCAGGGACTAGCCATAAGGGATCGAGGTGCCAGCAGCACCCTAACGGGGTGGGACTACTCTGACTGCGTGCACAGCTTCAAGAATGGAACTGCCTGGGCACGCAGAGACTATGGAAGCGGCAGGGGTTGTGTGATGTACATTCTGGACCATATGCTACAGACAGAAGGAGGGCACGGCTGGGAAGAAGGAAAGGGTCTTCACAATGGGCACAGGTGAAAAGACCAACCATGTGCATGCCTACAGGGACAGAGCGCAGGGTCCCAGCAGGGCGGGAAGGCGGAACCAGCTGCGCCGCGCCAGCAGTGCTGGAACCAGGCAGTATACGTGGTGTCCACAAAAAATAATTTGTTCAATGGCCAAAGAAGTGAAATGGGCATCCCTCCAGTTGGCCCCTGAAAAGTCCTTCAAGTTCTAGTTCTTCATGGAAGAACCAAGGAGGACTGTGCAAATGGCCAAGGTCCTTGATGCTGTCTTCGCACTGCTGCCCAGGCCCAGCTCCAGGCAGGCCTTCCCCAGGGGAGCCCCCAGCCCGGCCCACTGCCAGCAGAGGCTCCGGCAGGGCGGGGAGCCTGGCCCAGCAGTGAAGAGCAGCGCCGAGTTTTCAAAACAGGAGGGGTTTCTGTCACACTTGATCACAGCTCCTTTTATACTTCTCAAAGTATAAGGGGAGGGTGGAGGGGGGGGATTCCATCTCCCAGGGCAGAGAACGGGGAAAACTACACTGCACGTCACCCTCTGGGAGGCTCACCCGGGCCTGCTATCCCTAAAACATAAAACCACGGGGTCGCCGTGAGTCGGAATTGACTCAGTCGCAATATATTTGTTTGTCTGCTTGTGTCTCAGTTATTCAGCTACAGGTCCCAAGGGGCATGGCCGCTGCAACCATGCGTCTTAAGACTGCGGCTCCCAGGCCTCTGCTTTCCCCCACCAAGTTCAAGTAGCCGCATCTTTCGATTTGAAAATGGACACTGCATCTAAGCTACAGATTTACTAAACCTGTCCGTCGGAAAGTCAACGAATTTTACATGTTCACAGAAGGATCACTACTCTGTGTAATATTTCCTCGATCAAAATTTGGGCTGGGTGTTGGTTTAAGAGAGCTTTCTTTAGTCACAATGTAAAATGGCCTGATGGTGTGATCACTTCCCAGTCCCCTCCTATACTCACCCCCTGAAACGCATCCATTCTGATCTCGTGGCGGCTCCTGTTACGTGAGCCCCTGGACTACTGGCTCTATCACAGGGTCACAGCGTTCCGCTGGTCAACAGGAAGCAGGCCTTCCTCCTGCTACACCCCAAAAAATATCCTCGATGTAGCTCCCTGACATGAAATATTTAACACATCATGCCTTTGGGGAAAGAGACTAAAATATTCGATTGGTAGACAAATTTTCAAAAACCCAATTCTGTTTTCACACTGGAATCCTGTCCCAGGTGATTAGAAAGAGCACTTCCCTCTGCATAAAGGACTTTGGGGGTAAGAGGACACACGCAGAGGCAAAGGAGACAGCAGTGCTCTTTAAGCATTAGCTGTGGAAATCAGCCGCTAATTTCTAACCTAACTAAGAGCTGTCTTTCAATAAATCTAAAACTATACGTGTGGCATGCTAGGGTAAGAGGAGTTGGTCCTGTGTTCCTGTGTCCATCCACCCTTTTGTCCTGGGCCCTCGGTTCATTCATCTAGCTTCTCGGGATCCATTTCCAGTCCACACACCAGGAAGGCTGTATTCGTCTGGATGGACCAGAGAAACAGATCCACAGAAACTCATATGTATGAGAGTTTTATATATACAGGGTAAATGTACATTCAGAAAGCATCCCAACCCTGTCCAGTCCAAGCCCATAAGTCCAACAGTGATCTACAAAGTCCTCCTCAAACTCACAAAACACATACAATGACGCCAGATGCAGGAGGATCACAGGCCAGTGGGTAGAAAGTCTGAATCCACTGGCGATGTAAGCATCTCAGCGCTGGCAGGGGTCTCCACGCGGCTGCTCCAGCACCCAGGGCTGCATCAGGGTAAGTCCATGTGGCTTCCCCTCAGGGATGTCTCGCAGGAAGTGAGCCTTGCCAGCTAAGGCAGCCGCACGCTGGTCCGACCACCAAAGAGCAAGAGACCAGAGAACCAGAAGGGCGAGGCTCACAGAGCCATTTATCTCTCTGCCCTTCAATCAATCCCACATGTGTTTATCGGCCAGGTTGGCACAATAAACCTTAACTATCTCAAAGACCAAATTCGATTAGGGCACTAGGCCCCTTCCTACTCTAAGTAGTCTAAACAATTTTGTCGATTGTCAAAAATTCTTTAAAATGTTCCTCCTCTTATTCAAATTTAACAATGATGTTCTATCACAGGGTTTTTTGTTTTTGTTTTTAGAAAAGGAGAATGTTAACTCATACACTAAATAAGATAAATTATTAATTAACCGGAAAAGGTGGTGTGGTTATAGGTTGAGAATTGCTAACCATAAGGTCAGCAGTTCAAAACCACCAGCCATTCCTTGGGAGAGAGAAGAGGCTTTTTGCTCCCATAGTTACAGCCTCAGACACCCACAGGGCCAGTTCCACCCAGCCCTAGAAGGTTGCGAAGAGAATCAAAGGCAGTTGGTGTCTATGTAGAAAGGCAGTGAGCTGGCGTTGTTTGCTTGCTTGGTTTTGGCTTGTTCCAAATGTGACCAACAGATTCCGTGTCATATCCCAAGTCATTAAGCAATGACAGATCCAGCGTAACCTGTCCTCAGAGGTATGCCAGTGAGAAAGGTCCGTCTTCTCTGTTGACAGTTCTCATCTGAGGAGTGATGAGATAGGAAACTCAAGGAGTCGGATGAACCGAGGTTCAAATCCTGGCTCTCCCACTCAAGAAGTGTGGGGTAGGGCTCGGAGGGCTGCCTGTCCGGCTCCAGGATTCATCCCGACAGCGTGTGCCCAGTAGAACTCCATCCGTGTAAACACGCATGTCTCTGCCGTCAGCTGTTGGCTTTTGCTGAGGGTTTTCCTTTAAATGATGGAGCAGGAAACGTTTTTCTAGCCAAACACTGCTGACACGGCTTCCTAGTCAATGAGCTCTCTCCAGTCCTGGTGGTACACAGCGTCCAACCCTTGGGAAAGTGTGTGTTAACATAAATAAATAAATCATTCTTATGAACTCATCTGGGGGTGGAAAAACCTATTTCAAATGGTCTCCGTGTTTGTTTGTTTTCTAAGAAGAATGTCAGCAACCCAAGCAAATATGGTTCTAGTCTCCTAACTACAGGGGTTCTTTCTGAATTGTTCTAGAAAACACCTTTCAAAAATCTAGGGACAGAGAGAAATCAAAAAGTGAGTGCCGGCCAATAAAATGTATTCACGATTTCCAATTTCAAAAAGATTTCATTTCTGAACAGTGTGGTGGGGGGGAGAATGCTGGCATCTTCTTCCCTTGCATAAGAACATTAGTAATAAAATTATAGCCTGCACTCGATACCTCATGGAGATTTCACTCTGATTTTTTTAAAAACCACTCATTCTAAGTTGTTTATAAACATCATTTCCTTTACTGTTCCTCCAAGATTGTTTTACTTGACCTTCCCAGCTCCAAGCTACTTTCATAGGCTTCCCGCCTCCCTTTTCCGGTGCCCCCACAGTGGGTGCCCACGGGCTCTCGTCCCTAAACGCCCACACCTTTCTCCAGAGTGCAGCCTCCCAAGCGTTTTCTCATCAAGACACACTTGTGAGAGACTTTTGCACAGAACCTGGGCCGAGGGGACTCTAGCCGGAGCACACTGCCCGGAGGCTCCTCCCCACCGGCTTCACGCTGGCCAAACGCAACTGGAGGAGAAGAGCCTCTGGGGTTTCTCTGGGCGGGCATCCTCCCTGGGAGTGAGGCTCTGCTGCACTTCCTGTTCGTCCTCTTCTCCCAGAGCCTGGGCCAAGGGGTCATCCACCGAGGGGCGGCTCCAGCTGCCCGCTCTCCCTCAGAGCATCAGTTTGGAGTCACCCGCCGTGAAGCTCAACTCTTGTTAGCTATGTGATCTTTTCTTTCTTTCTTTTTTTTGCTTGTTAGTAAAAAATGTTTTCATCTCAAATATTACAGTGACTTGGGACCTTCTAAAGCTCTGCTCTACCCAATAAGACGCTACTCCTTGGTATTTAAT